CACTCGCGACAGCACGAGATAATACGATGTACGTGATATAAAACCTTATAAACACAAACAAACACAAACGGTTGTTTTTCTGAACCGTTAAAACAGTGTGTTTTATTCTGAAAATAAACCGGATGTTTTAATGTTGTATCGGTGTCTTGACTTCCCGTCCCTTTTGTTCTTTTCTGTGCTAAATTGATACGTTGTGCTCCGGCCGGGTCCAGCACGGTTACACTGTAGGCTAAATCCCATTGTTAAGGTTACAGAACACTCACGCATAAGCGCTCAAAAGGCGCTGAAGGCAGCGCTTTTATCTGAAAAAAGAAGTCCAGTGTGAACACGGCCTAAAAGGATTCTTTGCGTAGCTTTTTTGTTTTCGTTCTGCATAAATGATTGCAAGATTAATGCATGATGACAACATAAAGACAAATAAATAAGGACTTTGGAGCCAGATGGCAAAATCGTTCCTAAAATTGATGAAAGATGTGTACTTAAGTGAGACAAGTGTTCAAAAGGAAAACTGCACTTTAAGCAAACATTGAATTTTCAGTGTCATGAAGCTACTCATCTTTTAACCTGGCTAGAGAGCCAGGGTAACTTATCTGGACTCCTGAACTGTTCCAAAGAAGGTTATGTTCAACGCTCTGGATGTAAAAACAAAACCGTGTGAAAAGCGTCCCTTTTACCAATTCTACTCCTAGCAATAATTTTATACTAGCCATATGGATTCTCAGAACGGGGATTTGGATCCAACAATTCTCACATTAATGTTGAACTGTTCGGTATCGCATCCACGCTTCAATATACAACTCCACTGACCGATATGGGATTTTTGGGAACTGAAACATACATTGATTTTTGAAGGGGAAAAAAAAAAAAAATCTGATAAAGTTATACCAGCCGATATCTTTCTAAGGTTTATGTTAGATCTGTATGGACAGATATACACATTTATCGCATTGATCCCTCAAATGCACTTTTGGAAAAGATATGTAGTGAAGACAAGATGGGTCTGTGAATTGGAAAGTAGCTGAGCATGTACGTGCATCACTACTTGACACTCTGGAGGGTGATGATGTTTTTTGTAATCCATGTAGCGCACTCAGTTGAAGAAAGAAAACTGCTAGTGTAATACTCAAAAGAAATGCTACTTGACTAGTGAATAAATTCACTTATAATTTTGATTAAATTAGCCAATACCAGTAGTCACTAGATATGCTAAAATCAGCCAATATTATCTGCTGGCCAATTAATTCTTGAGCATAATGTTTAAATAACCTGTATCTGGTTCAGGAGCTATACAATGCTGAGCTTTATAAAATAAGCATGCAGAATGCAGAGATCATTGAGATAAATTACAGTCATGGTAGGTAACTTTCATGTTTCCCAGTAGAATTCCTTTCTCTGTTAGTTTGAGGAAACAATCTCTCTAGTTTTTCCAATCTCATAGTTTAACAACCTCTTCCTCATAACAGAAAGGGGCCTCATGATGTCACTCTCTTTTGTGCAAAAGTAAAAGTCAAACGACACATCAAACACCCAATTTTATGAGAGAGTGCAGAGGAAGAAAGCCTGGGTTACCAGAGACAGTGATAACCACTGTTGTGATACCCATCATCTCTGACGGGCGTTTTAGGTTTTGTCAAGCAAGGGGGCAAAGGCAAAAAAAGCCTGTACATCTATAACTTTAAATCCCCCTGTTGAATCCAGTCACAGTGTATAGCTGTAGAGGATGTCTGGGTCCTTTTAGGCTGTATTGCGAAGAGTATGCAGATTTTGCAAAGTTTGCAATATTTAGAGTTACAGTAATTGATGACATATTGTCTCTTATTCTCAAAACGTTCTAGGGCCTGACCGATATGAGATTTTTGGCGCCGATATCGATATTAAGGAGACCGCTATATTAGCTGACATCTTCCTTACTGTAGATCTATAGAGATAGCTACACATTTTTTGGCATTTATCCCTCAAAAGCAGTTATCAAACACAACTGGAAAGTAACTGTGCATGCATGTGCATCACCGCTTGACACTCAGTGATAATGCTTGTCGTAATCCATATAGCACACTGATGACAGCCGGAACAAGAAATGTTAGCGTAATACAATGAAACTCAAATTAAATGCTATTTTACCAGGGAATAAATCTACTAATATCAGCAAAACCCCAAAATCGGTCGATATTATCGGCTGGCCGTTAAATCGGTCAGGCTCCAAAACTCTCAATATGACCTAAATTAAATTTTTGAAACAAAGCATTTCAGAGTTTTTTTTCCTCACAGTGGTTCTACTGCAATACAGTCAATTTCTAGGTCAGTGTTACTCATGCAAATATGTTTCTCAAAGGTCTTAATTAACTTTAAAAGGCCGCTTATCTGAATACTACTATCATCTGGAGGCCTGAGCTTGAAATTACAGATTATGCCACATGATTATCATTCATCTGCTAGAACCGCTTGTAGGCTCAACAGGCATGGAGCTGCTGTGAACCGTCTACCTCCTAAAATAGTAAATCATTGTGGGCTATATAAATGCTGTCACACTGGAGGTCATGGTAATGTAATTTTCCCCAGTAACAGAAATGGTTGCAGTGTTCTCCCCCTCCTCCTCCCTCTGTCCACCACCCCGCCCACTTCAAGAAACAAGCGCACCCCACGCAGCCCACCCCCCCTCCTCTTATAGCAGAGGATCTGGGTCTAGCTTGGTATCACAGTAACCGTGGAGGAAAAATACATCCATTTTAATCAGGCCAGCGTCACTGCTGCTTGTGCTCTTGCCGCTATCTAATTTGCGTGACGTCTTGTTCAAATAGGCTCACACATGCTCAATCTGTGGGAGCGTAAATGTGTGTTTGGGTTTGGTTTGGAGACGAGAATGAAAAGGAGGTGTTGATGGTAGCGGTGTGGGTGTATGCTACAGGGAGTGTGTGCACATTACAAGCACTAGTTTTGATCCAATGTTTCCCCCAAAGGCCATTTTCCACGGTAGGTAGGCACTGAAGAGACTGAAATCTGTGCAAGACACACGCAGCCAAAACACAGCTCAGTGTTCCTCTCTGAGCTGTTCTATAATTCAGGCTGCATGAAAAACTAGTGCTGATTTGATTAGTAACTGCATTAATTAAATTACTCCACAGTCATGTAAATATTTTATGTACCTGGGGCAAGAAAAGTAAGCTTGACAATGTCAGAAAGAAGCACTGACTCAGATCTCAGAACTGCCAAACTACGCATCACACTTCTGCAATTCCATCTGTCAGCGAACAGCTCGTAAAACAAGCTTCAGTGGAAATGAACTTGGAGGTTTCCAATTGTTAAAGGTAGCCTATAAGGTGGGACACAACAAGCTCAAAATGTATTGATTTAAAATCAACTACAATGAAACCTGATCAATGAAAACCTGAGCCATGCATTTTACTCCATTTTATAGTCCTGGATGTCAACCGATTGCTGGTTCCAGATATATCAAATAAGAATAATTCAGGACTGCCACTACAACTAGATATTAAGTCTATTAAATATCATAATTTAAAAAAAGAATAACTACTCCTGAGACCAATAGGTGTCACAAATTAAAGCAATATAGTTTACTAATTTAGTTAGCTGATTTTGCAGAGGTACACTAAAGGCTGCTGTCTTAAACATCTCAATCAAGGAAAATGTATTATTATTATTATTGCCATCCAATCACCAGAGAGCACTTTACTGTCTGCTACATGTGCTACAGACAATGCAGAGATTAGCATGGAGTCGCAGTTCTGTTGTCGAAACTCCCATTGCCACAATTTTTATCAACATTAGCACGCGTTTTTCTGAATATTGTGTTATTTAAAAAGAAAATCATGTGTGTATGATAAAATATATTCAAATTCCAACATACAAATAGTATGCGGATATCCAATTATTAGGCCTAGAGCCACTACACAGTCTAATAGAACAAAAAATAAATAAAACTTAAATTTATTTTAGCTAGATTAATGTGTAAAGATTATTAATTTGAGTTATTAATCCATTTATAGAGCCCACTTTTCAGCACAATACTCTGTTTTGTTGTACATTCTTGATTTCAGAAGAGGTCCTTGGTTATGATATTTGATAGACATCTTCTCGTTTCGGCATTTTAAAGACTAAATGTAGATTTTATTTTTTTAAATAGACTGACGTTTTTAAAATAAACTCGAAGCACTAATTGCACCACAGCAGTACAGGTCAATAATATTACCTTCACCTTAGCCAACGTGCTCATAATTAGTCCTTTATTAGGATCACCTGCGGTCATAATTGGCTGGTCAACCTTCTCCCTCCATGACTATGTTGTTACATATTGTCAGTTTTTCTTCCGCTTTATATCAATGCACTTTCCTCCCTGCTTATCTCTCGCTCTCTCTGTCGGCTCCCACTTCAGGAAAAATAAATAAATAAACAAAGCACTGAACCCGCTGGGGGTGGTGATGGCTGAGGAGAATCCCACAATGGGAGTGAATGAGAAATCAGGACACGCACAAACGCCAACGCGGTGCAAGAAGCACGGGTTTGATCCGTGAGTGCCGCTTGTTTTCAGGTCTAAATTAATTGACCGCAGTGCTAATTGGCCGTGAATGAGCAGCGACAAGCAGTTTCTGTACAGCAGGCAACACAAACTAAAAAGGGCCTCTCCATCCCCCCCACTTTCTCCCTTTCATCTTCGGATATTGAGCTAAACACCCAGCCTTTAAGAATTAATCATTTAAAAGGCTCAAGCGCTCATTGTGCCTTAATACAAAGCACAAAACAAGGAAGACACGTCCCGCTCCCACTCCCACGGACACGTTATTTCAGGGTTTCTGTGCTTTAGAAGAATCACACGGTTGATAAGCTCAAGGTGTAGCCAAGCACGGTTATGTCTTCAAGGAGCAGCCAAAGACAGGTGTGCAGCTCCGTAGTGTTAGCTAACCTCACCGTACACCCACACACAAACACACACACAATTACACGAACACACACATAATTAGACACACAACGGGTGAGAGACTTACCGTGGACGTTAATGCAATGCTGGAGACATATTAGCATCGGCAGCAGAAGACGTGTAGACGTGACCATTTCTCGCGGTGTAACGTACGGCTGCTAACTAAGCGCCCTCGCTCTCACACACACACATATACACACATATACACACACACACACACGCAGAGCAGAGCTGTTACCGGAGAGGAGCCGCCGTGAGAATGAAACGGAAACCACGCGTCTTTTACGCCTTTTGATCTCGTCCTACAACGACGCGACGCTGCTGGGGCCGTCCGGGCTCCCGTACTCTCCTCTCGACCTGAAATCCATTTCCTTAAATGTGACGGTAACGTCTCGGTGACCGGTTTGTTAGTGCTGCTTCACAGAGCCCGTCACAGCTGAGGATTTTTTTTTTCTCCTTCAGTCCGTCTTTGGCACAGTGTTAACCCTTTACTGTCCGCATGGAATAATTCAATAATAAAGGCCTGCATACAAACAGTCATGATCTAAAGAAAAGAGTTATTATGGAGGCATATCTATTTGTACATGTCAATCAATAATCAATCAATGAACAGTGTAGTTGTTTTGTCATTACTGCACAGCTCTGGACTGCTCCCTATGTCAATACTGTCCATTTACATCTACCTCCAGCAAAGTATGTTGTATTTAATATTGTCATATTTAAGACTAGTAATGCTAAGTTAAATCCTGGTTGTATATATTCACATTCTTAGTTTTGATATTTTTAGTACTTATTTACTTTGTATTTAATATTATATTGTGTTTAGATTTGCTAACATTGTGTTTTTTACTCATATTGTGTGTTGGATAACCTGCTGCTGTAACGCCACAATTTCCCAGTTTGAGCTCAATAAAGTAAATCTATTCTATTCTATTACTTGTTTTGCTTGTCATCGTGGTTTTATGTAACTTTGTTTACCTATTTACCAACCAAAGGGACTAAAGATGGGAATTGGCCTGTGGCTATAATCTGGCATATTTACATGTTTAGGTTAAGTAATTTACACTGTCCCTATTTTAAATAAATAAATAATTATCTTAATTTGTTTAGCGCCAAAGACAAGACACTTTACAAAAGTCAAGCGAAATACCTTACTCTTTGCTATATTATCTACAAATACCCAACATTAATCCATCATGAGCACTAAGCAACACATTACAGTTACAGTGGAGAGAATAAACCAGAAAATTCTGGTGCATAACTGCATGTCACAAACTTTTGCAAATATTATACAGTTTAAAAATATATTTTTTACACAACCTATCTTATGAAAAACATGGATAGCTATCCTTTTTTCACAGTAATGTAGGCCTATACTTTATATTTTATTATGTTATATTTGTCTGTGTGTTTTGTGTAAATATCTAAACATTTGTATTGCTATTGAAGCCAATAAACTAAACATAGGGATAGATAGATAGAAAATGAATCTGCAAGAAAAATATTTTTGCATATGCTGCAAAAGTGTGCGCAGAATGCACTATAGGTGTAATGAAATATTGAATACTTGGCAGAGAGGTTGATAGAGGTCCAGATATGCATATACATCATGGGAGAAGTTATTGACTGTGTTAATATAGGCCTGTCACTGGACAGTCTGATTATACTAATAAAACCTGAAGCCTAAAGGTGCAGTCGATCAATGCAGTCAGTGGTGAGTGGTTCAATGCAAACTGAACATTTATCAAACAGCAGCTGCGTACTGTTCATCATTACGGAGCCAGAAGTAATTTTCTATTACCAGATTATTTTCTATTATGCTTTGTTTTCTGATTACTTTGGTTCATTATGAAACTGAAATCATGAATTGAACAGTAAACTGAGATGATACTTAACATTAGTGACCACTGTGACCCCCAGTGGTTTGACAGGATAAGGATCGCAAAATAAAATCCATAAATCAATGAAGACTTCCTGACTGTTCTGTCAACAAGGACTGGGATCTATATCTGTTCCCAAATACTATACCAATCTTTAAATGGCTTGTATTTTTATGAACAATGCTCCAGAAAGATCTTTTTATGGTCAAAACGATACAAGGCCAAGCCAAGATAATGAAATAAGGTAGTAGCAGTCCAGCAATCAAAATCCACACAGAAAACGTCATCTTACCTCGTTTAAACTATCATGATAGATTAATGGTTAATGGATTTGAGCTGGTCTTTTACACCACAGGTCACACCTACACATTTACACACTGATGGCTGAGGTTTCTATGTAGAGTGACCATACTAAATGAAGCCAATGAGGAAGTGTAAAGTCCTGCAGTTCGTCAAGTGTCCACTAGAGGCTGGCTCCAGGAACACTGGAAGTCACATACACACAACCATCCAGGAAGCCATTTTTACAACATAAATTAACACGAACAAATTAACAAAAACAAAATAGGTCTGATTAGTTATTGTACTCACTGGCACACACTGTACGGGGGTTGAATTTTTAAGAAACGGTTCTGTTTTGATTATATGAATGTGTTATCCATTGTTAGGCGTGTAGCTGACATGATTGAAAGGCGCAGTGTTATGGTTTGTCATAAGGCTTAACCTGTCTCAGCTCCAGCTCTTAGCTTGTCTCTTGAGTCCCCTGCTGTAACAGATGGATCATGTCACTCAGGCTTCATCTATTAATATTCAGAAGTTTAGGGTATTAACCAATCCCATTCAAACACATTCATATGCCATTGATGAAGCAGGGGGAGCCACTTGGGGTTAAGTGTCTTGCCCAAGAACACATGAGACATGTAGCTGCAGGAAGTAGGAATTGAACCCCTGACCTTTTGTTTAGGAGACGACAACTCTACCAACTGAGCCACAGACAACCCAGCAAGTGTGTCTTTGAATGTATCTTTTATTTGTAAACAGTCGAAGGAAAACGTCACAATTGCTTTTAGCTCATCAGTCAATAAATTGAAAATATTGAGGATCAATTGTGTCCTAATTATTGAGCCAAATTCTTAAAGCACCTTGCTTAAAAATCACCAAAGGTTGGGTTATGATGATTTTTTTTTGACATGAGCAGATGACTAAAGTTTCAAAGAGTGAAAACTACATTTTTGGAACCAAACCCAGCAAGTTAATTTCCCCCCCCCCCTCCGCCTGTCTGACGCTATTTCTCCCCCATTTTGATCGCAGGGTTTTTGGAATTTGCGATCGGCTTTGTGCTGCCAGGTTTCAGAGGCTCTCGGAGTTCTTATCAGGGGATTGAACCTCATCCTCGGTGATGGCTGATGGCTGCTGATACACCCCAAGGCTCATTGTGTCCCAGATTTTTACATTCCCTGAGAAAAACACACACACAAACGACTCACTGTACAATTCAGTATGAGGCAGTTTTCAGATTTTTTTTTTACTGTCAGTATCTCTTTCTTCCAGTCATTTCCAAACACACACATACACACACACACACACACACACACACACACACACACACACACACACACACTAATTGGAGAAACCATGGTTGCGAACTTGATCTCTAAGAACTACATCTGTAGAAAATCCTTATTTGCACTCAATTGGCAAAGGATCTGAATTCAGAAAAAGACTCAGACAATCAATTCCTGTCAACTATTTCTCTTGGCAGAAAGCATCCACACTTTGAAGAAACAACAAGTTGATTTTGTATTTTTGCTTTGCCAACTTCAGGTTGCAACAGTCTGCCTTTAAAGATTTTTTTTTAAATTGAGCACACCATCTCTTGGTTTGTGAAATACTCTCTAATCAAACATGGCAGATAGATGTCACTGCAAATTGCCAACCAGCTCCAGACCCAAGGTGAACATTTACAGCACCAGATGTCTCCATCTAAGTTGCCCTCCCCCCCACATTAATGACACAACATTAATTGTTGTGACAGTGCTTCAATGTCAGCATCATGTGGGGACAGCAGAAGAAAGAGAAGATGTGGCCGTCCATGTACAGTAAGAGACTCCAGTGATTTACTTTACATTTTACAGAAATCTGTCAGCATTAAAAGAAGAAACACAGAAGCACTACTTCCATCTACCAGACGTGATCAAGTTTTATACCTTTTACAGTGAGGTCATAGAGTTGCCGTACAGAATTGTGAGAGATTGTGCCTGTGAGAGAGAATATATATGTGATATACTTTTTAAGAATACATTACCATTAAAACAAACAATGACATAAGCAGGCGTATCCCTTTCTCATACTGAAGTAGGACTTTAAAGAAGAGAGATCACACAATCAGTGTACCTACAGGAAGAAGAAAGGCAAGCTGACCTTTTGTGTAATAAAGCCATCACATCATCATTCATCCTGCCAGACTGAAACTGTGTTTTAAGACACATGTGAAGTCTTTAATTATAGCTAAAGAAATGTTTGGTGGGTAATCATCAAACTAAAGGAACTTATTTACAGATTGTCCTCAAAGTCAAGCCCAAAAGGAGTTTAGCTTTTCCTTTCCCTCTCATCGTGACAGAAACGACCCCGTGTGTTAAAAAGCACAGCATGAGAGCGTGATTTACAAGGCCGAGGCTTGCACACACAGCCGACAGATATCAACACTTCCTCAGTCCAAACAGCTTAATCCTCGTCTCACCAGGAAGCTTCAGGGACTCTCACTCACAGCTGATATTTAATCATGCCCAGATCTGGGCCACGTTTTTGAAGACGTTTGTAGCCAAAGGGGGAGCTTCTTTTATCGCTCTGTGACGGAGAACTGCTCGTCCACTCTCTTTATGATCTTTATTTTCTCCTCTGAGCCCTGAGAGAAGGCAGCAGAGACGGGGAAAAAATAGGATTTACTGTGATTAAATACCACATAATATTGTCCGAAAGGAGCTATAATCCTGTGAAGAATGGTTGCAATAATTAGTGCCGCATCATGGAAATATATATAAGTGATATAATTCACTTTAATAATTGTGAATGCAACTGCAGTCCCTCAGGCGTCTTCTTTGCAAGATGACTCAAACTTTGACATTTTAGAGTTTCCCATTTACCCACACAGACATCCATCCATTATCTATACTGCTTTTCCGATTCGGGGTCGCGGGGGGGCTAAAGCCTATCCCAGCTGTCATTGGATGAGAGGCGGGGTACAACCTGGACTGGTCACCAGTCAATCACAGGACATATAGAGATTGTCAACCAGCCACACTCACATTCACACATACTGGCAATTAAGAGTCACCAGTTAACCTAACGAGGAGCACGTCTCTGACTGTGGGAGGAAGCCGGAGTACCCACAGATAATCCATGCATGCACAGGGAGAACATGCAAACACACAGATAGGCTCCTGTCAGACGGGGATTCTAACCATGAACCTCTTCACTGTGAGGCAACAGCGCTGATTAAAAAAGAACAGAGACAGTGACATGCCTGTAGCCAGATGATGAATGGAACGCCTACATGTGGAGTTACATATTAATGTGAACTTCTGCATGGTCGTTCAGCACCACAGACAGCGACAACCAAAGCTGCTGATCCTGTAACCTCTGGGTTGTCGGTCGATTATTTACTGAAAAACTTAATGTTGAGAGAAGTGACAGTTGTAGTAAAGTTTGATGTCAGTTCTGTGATCAACCAAAAAGACTAAACTGAACCATCACCTGGCACATCTGGAATATACACTATCCTGACGGTAACCTGCTTTACTACCTCTATGAAAAGGTATGCAATAGAGGAAGAGGCATTGGTTTATTAATAATTGATTACTAAAATAAAGATGATCAGTTTACTCTTTGATTGACCTGTTTCCTTTCTTTGACACACTTTCATCTTTGATAAACAAATCCACAATTATTTTTAACTTTACTTTACTCAATTATAAAGCTTTGAATTCCACCATACCACACTGCACCACTAGATGGCATCATTGCTCAATGTCGCACAGATAATATAGGTTTATAGAATTAGTAACTAGGGGCGGGGTTACACCCTGGACTATTCACCAGCCAATCACAGGGCTGACATATAGAGACAAACAACCAGACACACTCACATTAGTATTTTCTTGGTTTTTGTATCATCAAAAAAACGAATTACAATTAATCAATCAAAAAATAATACTCCATCCATCCTTTGACATTGTTGTGTCTCACTCATAAACAATGTGATTGTTTTTCTCTACATGACTCGACTCTAAGAGCAACGACCACAGCGTTAGAGACAGAGACATGTAAAAGAAGACACAGCAGCAGGAGTCAGAGTAAGATTTGAACATAAATTTGTTTTAATAAAATATATTTACATTTTATACAGGCTTGTTTTTACAGTACATACAGCATTTACATATAAATATAGAGCGCTATCTCCAGCGCTGTGAAATCTGCGTCTGCAGAAGTTTGCAGGTTAATACAAACAGAAATGTTTGATATGTTACACAAGTTAGTTAGGTCTTATTAAATCATGGATATATAGTATACCTTTTTTTTAAAAAGAAAAGTCCCCTTAAAACCAAATCAACAGCTATTTCTATCTTCTTCTAACGCTGTTTATAATACATGTTAAAAAGATCATTCCCCCGCCGTCTTCTCAGCGGAGGCATTAACCCTTTGCACCTTTAGGACTCTGAGTCTTGAAAAGAAAGACAACAAAGATGTCCACTTCAAAAGTGAAAAGCAGAGATTCTTAAGGCACAAAGTCTGAACAAGAGGCTGACAGTTTGTTATAACATAAAGACGTTGCTGCAGGCTTCTCTGTCTTTGAAACTTAATTCTTTGTTTGTCTGTGTGTCACTTGATCCTGAAACTGACCACATTTAAATCATCCTGAGGTCAAATCTGTCCTCATCCCTTTCTAAATCCCTTTTCTCTATGTTAGTTCAAGTCCATGCACATTTGTTGTTGCTGTTGTTTTTGAAGGCACATCTTTCTGCACATTATCTTTGTACTTTTGTATATCTGTATTTGTATTTTAAATTCTTATATATTTTATTAAACTATTGCAGTTTGCACCATGGTTTGAATACAGTGTCCAGTATGTAAGGCAGAAAAGGAAAAAAAAAACGACCTTGCCTTCATCACTGCACACCTGTGGTGACTGCAGCAATAACTACTCTCCTTGTCTCATTGTGTCGCCACGCCCTGAAGAAGGCTCAGGCCGATATGTGTTTGTTTTTGTCTTACATTGTCCTCCACTTTTTTGAAGTCTTCCCTTCCATGAGCACCGGTGGTTTTGAGGGATACCAGAAGCGCTCCTGTTGTCTCTCTCTCTCAGCAGAAGCTCTGTGTCCCTGTGTAAGGCGCCTGCAGGCAGAGTGAGCCGTGGTGAGGAAGAGGATGGCTGTAGTAGTGTTCAATAAGCGCTGACAGATTGGGGAAGGTCATTTCACTGTCCAGGAAAATAAGTCCACCCTACCATGAAAAAATGACAGATAGTATTTAGTTAGTTGTTTTTTAATGATTTCTTCACATTGAGATGCCGAAATAGAATTCAGAGCAGCCGGTTTCTTACCTCCTCAAACAGACGGTAATTTCTGGCTTTGCTTATACCGATATCCCAAACCACCAGCACCTGGAACAACAAGCCAAAATGATTTGATTTAATGTTTCTTCAACAAGACAAAGTCAGTAGTACTCAACAGAAAACTTAAACAAATCAGTGCAATGAGGAAAATACATGGCCTCCTCTGAATCCACTGAAAATGCAAAGATAACTAAAATCTCGAGACAGAAAAAATAAATAAAGTACAAAAATGAAACAAAGCTTTTCATCTATTTTTCTGTGTCTGCCAGTCAGTCAGTGTCTCTCTCTCTGTCTGTCTCCCCCTCAGTCTCAGCAGATATCTGTTCAACATCAGTCTGGTTCTGCTCGAGGTTTCTGCCTGCTAACAGGGTTTTCTTTGCTGCTGTTGCCATGGTTTCCAAGTGTTTTAACTCATGGTGGATTAATGTTGGGTCTCTCTAAACAATGAAACAAAGAGTACAATCCTGCTTCGTATGTAAAGTGTCATGCTAAAGACACAAAGTTTCTGCAGTGGAGGAGTGGACACTACACTTCTGAAGTCACAGACTAAAGAGTTTTATATATTTGATTTTGTGTGTTTACCTTCGACGTCTTTGTCCCTGAGTTCCGGATGCAGTACAGACCGTCCTGTGGATAGATGTTGCTCTCTTTGAACAACCTGCAGGAACAAGCGTCATCACAGGATACAGGTTATCAATAAAGACACTTTAACACAGACAAGCTTAATATCTGCATATAAGAACAGCAATATGTAGCAGATGTTTGTTTCTTCATGTAGTAATTCTACTGTAAGCTCTACACTGGTGTTGATAAAACACATGTCACTGCATTTCAGCCACCAGAGGGCAGCACAGCTTTAAAGGCATATTTCAGGTACAGCTCTATATCTAATAAAAGTTCACATACTTTTCTACTAAGCTGGTTTCAGTTGTGTCAACGTACACAGAGTCTGGCAGCTGCACCTACAGAGAGAAACACAAAGTTATACAAAGTGTACATAACTAAGTTATAGCACTGATACTGTCTCAAAAGGAGGAGAAATGTTCTCAGGAGTAATCATTTGAAAAGATCACATAAGTAAGTTTGAGAAATTCCTGTTTGTTGATGTTTTTCTTAAATATTTGAAGACAAAATGTGAGAGTCGCTGAAAATGTAGGCAGGACCTGAACAATTTCAGATAAATAAACATTTTGGAAAATTAGGAGTGTGACTTCACAGCTCAGACTGAGTTATAAACCATCAAACCATCGGGGTGACTGGAGCAGAAAACAGCTCGGACAAGAATGTCATGATTGTAGTCTGACATTGGATTTTTCTAATTCAATAAGATCACTTGTGAGATCATTTGGTCGATGAACAACTTAACACAAAATACACTTTAAATACAGAATATCTTAAAAAAAACACAACTGCTCTGTGATCATCTGTGCAGTGTATGCAGCTTTCCAACAGTCTGAGTGAAGTTAAATGAGCAGAAGAGCTTCTTACACTGCAAAAAACTCAAATGTAAGAAAGTCTATTTGTCCCATTTCTTCTCAAACTGATCAAATTACACTCAATATAAGCTTCATTTACCTAATAAGACAAAAAATAACATCTCATTTCAAGATATAAAAAGCAAAAAATAAGGACTGGATTGCTTGTAATAAATACAAATAAATAATGTGACAATGGTTGTTGAGCATCTTGAACTGAGATGTCCTATCTGAATCAGTCAGTTCATCTCTTTTCAAGAAACTGAGCAAGTAAACCTTTCATTCCCCACTGGCAGATTTTTTTTACTTTTATATCTTGAAATACGATTTTTATCTGTACTCTATGTCGCTAAAAATAAGTGTTATGAGATATTTTTTATTTTTTGATACACTCACTCAGTTTGCCTCAGTTTTTGCAGTGTAGGTGGTTTCCAGCGACATCTATTCACCTATTTCCCAACCCCCCATCTATTCATTTAGTTAGAGGCGTGTAGTGGTAATATCAGATATCACTTTAGCATCTCTTACGTTCTCATAGTCGTCGTCAGAGTTGCTTTTCGACGAGTGTTGTTTCTTCCTGCTCTCTGTGGGCGTTTCCTCTCCCAATGATCTGAAACTCTGTCCATCTGGCGATGCTCTTCTAGAGGGAAAATAAGCATCAGTGAGCTCTTGCAGAGGACACTTTTTCTGCCGAGTGTTCTGTGTTTGATGTTTTATTCAAACTTACTGAATTGGGGTTCCTGGCGGCTTGGACTTGGCTGCAGGCAGCGGCGGTTTGGCAGTTGGTGGGGGAGGTTTAGGTATAGCTGGCCTGTTGTGAAGTCCAGTTTTAAGAAGAGGAGACAACGGAGGGGTACTTAAGGATGTCAGGGAGTTTAACATAACAGGGTGAAGAGACGACCCCCCAGTTTTGGCCACATGGGAAGGCGGTAGGTTTGGCTTGCTGCGGAGGTTAATTGTCACCCCTTGATGGTTGTTGCTTTGTGATTGGCTCCCTGCTGCAGGAAGGTAACAGAAGGCGGGACCATTTTGAGGCCCCCAGTCTTTCTTGTCCATCACGGGCTCCCCCATGGAGGTGGTCCTGCTCTGAAGAGTTCTCTTTGGATTAGGGGGAGGTGGAGGTGGCGGGCAGGAAGAGACGGTCTTGTGCAGGTGGGGAGCAAAGGGGAGAGGGGGAGGCGGACCTTTGTTGGGGTCTTTTAGTGTGGAGGGAGGTGAGACAGAGGGCAGAGACTTTTTGGGGAACGGGCTGGTTGGGATTCTGTGTAGGGGTGGGACTGGAGGAGGTGCTCCTTTGTGGAAGCCTGGACTGAATTCTTGACGGAGCTGGAAGGTTGCCGGCACCGGAGGAGGAGGGTAGGAGGGGGGCGGTCCTGTGGGTCGACCTGAAGAGACTAAAATAATACGCAAATAAATATAAGTCTACACAGAACTAAAATCAAAACCAATACACTAGAGGATTTGGAAAATCATTACAAGACTTCTTGTAAATCTGACTCTATTGCACAGGAAATGAAGCAGCTCCATATTCTTTCAGGATATAAATGCTGCGGTGTGTGTTGCTGTTACTTTCATTATAAGAGACCATATATAAGTCATCTTAAATATGTGTGTGTGTGGGGGGGGGGGGGGGGGGGGGGGGAATCACCTGTAGATGTTGGGGAACAGTCACTGTCTGGCTGTAGATAGTCTTCCTCGTCGTCATCATCATCCTCACCATAATCTACAAACAGAAAAGAGGTTCCAGCGTTTAACATCACACCAGTGTAGCATGTTGGTTATTTGAATCGTGTTCACTGACTGAGGTCTTCTTACCGTCGTCTGTGTTGTCCACGGGGTGTTTGATATCCATGGGCCTCTCAATCGAGCCATAGAAACTGTCAGCATCTGAATCCGAGTCGCTATGGCAACAGAGACAATGTCACCATGAATACATCACTCTCAGGAAAACAATTAAAATAAACAAGTTTGAGCAGAGTTTTTTTTTTTACTGCAACAAGGACCTCAACCTCTGCACATGGGCTGCATGACATAACCGTTGGCCTTCAGCTTAAATGTTTCCTTATCAAAAAAGTAGGGATGTTCTTTGGCTCAGAGTTTGAACGAAATAAATTAAACTGCAAATCTTTTTAACAAGTACAAAGTCCACACTCTGCCTCCTAAACCACAGCAGCCCCACTTTAGTACTGCCACTAGGCTTTTAAATAAAATGGAGATTTGACCTCATTCCCTACAGATATAGTTTTTACACTTTTAAAATAATACATATCAAAGTGAAAGTTAGGGGCTAGAGCAGGACGTTAGTTTTGTGTAAGTAAACACATCTCCCATGAGAAGAAGCTCCTTTGGCCAGGCAGAGACTCTGTAATGAAAAGCTGCTCAATGTCTCCTTCCCTGATGACAGGATGTGATCTGAATACACAAAAACTACAGCCTGTTAAAGATATGTGCTCAAAAACAAGAGGCCATTTTAATTGGCTGTATAAATAATTAATCAGCCTGCAGAATTAGTTTCTGGCTGGGAAAAGCTTTAAGAGGGGGAAAAGTCGGGCTGAAGCGACCTGAAATAATGAGTTTGAAAAAGTTCTGTCAAACGTTAAAAGTGAACAAGGTCACAGTGATGAAGGCTGTTTGTCGGCTGCACAACCAAAAACACTTACAGAGATTAGGTTTTTTTCTCTCTCTCTTGCAAGAAACACTTTCAGATGTTTTAACTTTTTTGGGGGGGGATTTTCATGCCTTCAGTTATAGACAGGACAGTGGATAGAGTCGAAATTGGGGAGAGAATGAGAGAGAGAGAGACTGAATGGGGATTGACAAGTGGGAAAAGGAGCCACAGGTCGGATTTGAACCCTGACCACCCGCTTAGAGTACTACAGCCTCTGTACATGAGGCGCACGCACTAACCACTGGGCTACCAGCGTCCCAGAGGTGTTACCTTTTTGTAATATTAGCATTACAATTATTTATATACAGTACATAAGAAATTCTGTTCATACATCATAATGTACACAATCGCATGATTTAATTTGCTGAAGTTACCTTGAAAAGAGGCACTCATTTCTGTCATTATAGTAATCAATCTCCCTCCGCAGGAATCGCATCCATTTCTGTAAACACAATAAAAAAACATAAAGTAGGTATTTTGCTTTCCTCTCTGATCAGTGACTTGTTAAGGTGTCTTTCATACGCTTTCTGAAAAGGCGATTATGATGAAACTGTTCTCCGGACCGAGGTTTGAGCTACATTTTGCGAGTGGTTACAGCCTATGTATGTATATATGCACACAGGTCTGAGAGTGTGCGAGCAGAGTGTGTGTGTGGTTGTTCTCACCCTCCTCTCGTCCTCGCTGGCTGCAGAGAAAAACCACGTCCTGTGTTTCTTACTATAGTGCACGATCTTAAAAGGAAACACATTACTGGACGTCGTCTCCTCTGCCGCTCTCATCACTCTGTGGAAGGAGAGGAGACATCTCATGGGTGGAAATATTTACATCTACGAGGGAGAATATGAACATTTCTGCAGCTTTGGGAGCTTTTGTCGCTCTGCAAATTCTACCTTGCACTGTAGCCTAAATATCATCTTTACATCATCTGTGTGTAAACATTTTAATGAGAGGCAAACAGCTACGAGCCTGTGGTGAAAGTGTCTCATACTATAAAGCCCCATCTGTAAAGAGGAGGCCACCCACAAGCTTCACGCTCATGAGAGAAGTGACAAAGATGTTAGAGTGTACTCTAAGTCAAGTGAATTCACCATATGTAGTCTCCCAACAGAAATTACAAAATGTCATAATTCAGAGTGAGTGAAGACACTGACACTCTAAAAAGTTTGCAGTTATTTAAGCTTAAAACGGTGGTATGCATACTGTGAAATTGGTAATATAAAAAAATACAACATTGCTAATTTACCTGTTGTAGCCGTTGAGAGAGAACGCCCCCTGTGGTGCAGGAGAGGTACTGCTCTTAAAGTAGTACACACAGCCTTTGTGGATGATGGTGTACCTGAGTGGCCCTGCAAAACAAGCACAAGACTTTAAACATTTTCATGTGCAAACTAATTAAAATGGAGACAAGTGTAAACATTTGAATAATTAATCTTTAATTTTATACTTGATCAAATTGTAAAGGTTGATGAATCAATGAAGAGAATATGGAGTTTATGGCAGACATGTCTAACTCACATTTCATGAGGCTGAACTGGCTGCCGCCCTTCTTGTGGAGGTATCCCGCATTTGAAACTCCTCCTGGCATGGTCAGTAGGTTCTGAGCCCCGATGGCTCGCATCGGCACCGGCCAGCACACCTCTGGAGACGACATGGTTCTACCAGAGAGGAAAGAAGAAGAGAGAGGAGAGAATTATTCAATCACTGTATGTACTGATGTACCAGATGATTTAAACCCAGCATCTCTGTTACCAAACCTGCTTAATACCCAGCTAACATTTAAAACCTTTTTAAACTACATCATCTTTTCAGCTCATGCAGAGAACAAACAAACACTGTGAATCAACACACATCATCATTTGTCGGATACAAAGGCTTGCTCTCATTAAAGAGATCCTTTCTGCTCAAAAACCCTCTGTTTCTGTAAAATACGATTCTTCTGAAATTCATGAAGGAGTTTTGTTGGCACTACAAATGGCGAAGCTGCTTAAAGGCTCTAATCTGCAAACACATTATGCAAACTTGTTAAAGATACAAATATGATAAATTTTGCCACTTTTAAATCCAAGATGAAAACCAGGTCTTCGGGGGCCGTCTGTAGCATGGTGGTCAGTGTGCGCTCCCAAAGTACGGATATCGAGTCTCCAAGCGGGCGACCCAGGTTCGAATCTGACCTGACCTGTTGCTCTTTTCCTGAGCTTCATTCCCCCAAGTTTTCTCTCCTTGATTTCCGACTCTATCGATCTGTCCTACCTCTTAAATAAAGTCACAAAAAGCCCCAAAATAACAAACCTTTAAAAACCAAGTCTTTTTCCACCTTTCAAATCTAATCCCTGTTTCCCTGTTTAACTTGATATATTCAAATGTGATTCAAATGTTATTGCTTCTAAATTGCCTGGGTTTGAAATGTGCTGGATAAGGTTGCCATCTTTGGCCTTCATCCTCCAGAAATTGTAAATCTGTCAGCCAGTGGTTCAGGTGCTGCCTACCTCCTGTTGAGCCTTCTGTTGATGCTCTGAAAAGCCGCGCTCTCCCTCAGCAGGCTAACTGTGGAGGCTAACACTGTGGATGCTAACACCGGCACTACATCCATGAGAGAAAAGTCAAACCGGCGTGCCACTGATCTTTACTGTCCGTCCTCAGCGGGCTCACTGTCGCGTCTCATCAGATCAGAACTCAGAAGGATTTGTCCGTCAGGGTTTTTTCAGCCTCCTCAGATCACACTCGCTTTGATTTCACTCTCTGATGCTCTCTCGGTTTCTGCTGATCTCTCTCTCTCTCTCTCTCTCTCTCTCTCTCTCTCTCTGGCTGCCTTTGTTGATTTATATCTCTCTCTTCTTTCCTCACAAATAAACACATTCAACTGGAGATAGTGGAGCTACACACACATTTGTCCTGACAGGAAATATGTAATGTTCATTTTCTGGGGTTCAAGGCTTCATGTAAAAAATATGTGTGTGTGTGTGTGTGTGTGTGTGTGTGTGTGTGTGCATGTGAGTGTGTGTGTGTGGGGTGTTTGCCCAAGAGAGAGAAGAAGTCACATTTAACATCCCAGTGAAGTGCTTCATCATCTAATGTGTTTATGTGTAACTTCCAGTCTATCAGCAGCATCTACTGACCTCAGAGGGAGTGTGTGTGTGTGTGTGTGTGTGTGTGTGTGTGTGTGTGTGTGTGTGTGTGTGTGTGTGTATATAAGTGTGTAAAGTCCAGGAAGGAGGAACTCCATATTTACCAGGATTTCTTGTAAAAATCTTCTCTCCTCTCTCTCTCTCTCTCCCTCTCTCTCTCTCTCTCTCTCTCTCTCTCTCTCTCTCTGAGGTAAACAGGAATGCTGGGATGGCTCTTGGTCTACTCACTTTACTGAAATAGATCTGTCTTTTAAAGAACCTTTAAGTCTGAAGTGAGAGTGAGGAGAGCTGATGAAAAAAAATGGAGGCAAAAAACTTGTGTAAGACGCAATAAATCAGCAGGGTGGATCAGCTGCATGTTACTGACCTCCGAGTGCCCCTGTGTGTGTCTGTGTGTGTGTGTGTGTGTGTGTGTGTGTGTGTGTGTGTGTGTGTGTGTGTGTGTGTGAAGGCCTTGAAGGTCAGTCAAAGGCTATCATGCAGTTTGTTCTTGTGATCATCAAATATAAAGTTAACTGATAAGCAGCAAACGCATACCGCACCAGACACATCCAGGCAAACTGAGAGATAACAGGCAACTCTGAAGTCAACTAAACCTCATCTCAGTCTGAGTGAGGTCAAAGTTCAGCAGCTGCTTATCACGCACGGAAAGATTTCCTGAAGTCCTCGTTCACAGCAGAACTAAAACAACACGGCGGCTCCATGACTCGCTGGCACTCAGGCTTTTTATTTATTTTTACAGGACAATTCTTAAAACTGTTCATTTAGCAGCAGAAAGAGGAAGAAAGGACAAACTGGTACTTCAACATTTTACCATTCAAACCTGAGAGATCACCTTCAATTCAACTTGAACTGAAATTGTATAACTTTGTTCTAACAGCTAGGGTGGTAAATTCTATGAAATTAAGTGAGTAAGTAAATGTATTTATATATATAGCAGCTTCCAAGAGCAGACGTGACAAAGTGCTTTAAAAGAGAAATACAGATGATTAACAAACATAAACGGATCAATCGAAGACAAGTCTAAACAAAGTGGAGTTCACAGCACCCAATCCAGTGGGAACAACAATCCTCACACTCCTGCTGGTGTTGTGCAGATTTAAACGGTTCTTTGATATACAGTAAGCAGGTGCTTGATCATGCAGTTCTCTAAAAAAATCACAAGAACTTTAAACTGGATCCTCAAATGAATGGGAAGCCAGTGGAGAGACGTGAAGGAGGAACACCTGGAGCAGCAGGGACCTTGAGACTGGCATCACACAGAGCAGACTAACATGGAAACATCTGGAGAAGAAGATCAGGATAGAAGACTCTGGCAGACTGCGGTCAACGGCCTACATTATCCTCCATAAAGGAGAGATAGACGTCAGCAGTGCAAAGACTCAAGGACTGGAGTTAACATGAGAGGAGATTATATAAACAGCTTAGCAGCAGCATTTTGGCCCACTTGTTGGCGGTTCAACGATGTGAGGCTAAGACGTGTAAAAGAGAATGATCAAGTCTTATTAAAAAAAAGGACATGAATTATCATCTCTAGCTCAGCTCTGACCTGAGTTTCACTGTGATGGTAAAAAGAGGAGCAGAACAAACTGTTTACATGCTGGTCCAGGCTCAAAGCAGGACCCATCTGAACTCCTAGGTTACAATGGGCAGGTTTAAGAACAGAAGAAAGAAGAAGAAAAACCCACAGACATCTTTCCACCTCAGGTACAACATACAGAAAGAAACCATAGATATTTGATATTTACTCATATCTGTCAATTGTGTCTAGACTGGATCAAAAGTTAGGTTCAGATAGCATTTCCAATATGGCACCTGCTATTCTTGGGCTGTACAACACCTCTCCAGGAACCAATGGATGATGTCACTGAGATTACACCCAACGTCTTGTGCAGTCTGCGGTCTGTTGATGTACTTCCCAAACCAAAAAAAGCTTTATTCCCAAAATCTTCACTGCTCAAACTCAAGTTTCATGTGATGCAATGAGGTCACTTCTTCTTTAAATCAGAGGAAATGATGAATGAAACAGTAGAATACAAACTGTGGCTCAAACTGTGAGTCGTCACCTCTCAACCAAAAGGTTGAGGTTTCAATCCCCAGCTGAGCAACATGTCCGTTGTGTCCTTGGGCAAGACACTTAACCCTGAATTGCTTCAGTGGTGATGTATGAATGGGATTAGATACTTTTGATGATACTACATAGCAATCACTACCATCAGTGTGTGAATGTGTAGGTGTGACATGTAGTGTAAAAGAGCTTTGAGTAGTCGGAAGACAAGAAAAGCGCTATATAAGCTCAAGTCCAATCACCAAACTTGCTCAGTCAGCAGGTTGCAGGATTTTCGGGAATTGAAGCCTCAATTTATACTTCACTCAGGGAACTTGTATTTTTCCTTCCATCACTTTCATCAAAAGAAAACTCAAGAAGTATGATCAGGACTCTAATGGTCTCTTTAAATACAATCTGGTTTGTTGGTGCTGAATTCAAATGACCATTGTGTGACATTTAGAGGGATCTGGTTACAGAAATAGATTGAACACGAGTGTATGATCTAATCATCTGAAATAAATAACTAAAGGCGTGTACCACCTTCTCAACCCTCGAATGGATTTTTTTTTTAAAGTTCACCATCTTGAACTCGGCCGTCATTTGTGAGGCTGAGATGCTAATCAGAGAGCAGCTGTTTGTCAGGAAGGGAAGCACAGGAGCTGCTCACATACCAGACTCCTTCAGACATATTTCCTCTCTGGACGGACAAACACACACACACACACACACACACACACACACACACACTGTAAAACAATGTAACAGAGCTTTCCAGTGATGGAAACTGGAAGATTATAACTAAATGTATTAAACTAAAAGCACAGATAAGAGCCTCAAAGTTAAGAAAAACCTTTTTAAAAAGCCACAGCAAAAAAAAGAAAAAAAGACTACATCTCAGACATGGTTTATGTGAAGACAAACCAGCAGCCTGTCTCTCACAGATAAGGAGAGCTGCATTCAACCAGAACAAAGTGACCACAGCAGACGGACCGACAGCTTACCATTCAAACTGAAACTGAAAGCAGAGCAGCAGCAGCGACATGAAAACCCCCCTGATGAATCATCATGGGACTAAATCCCTGTTACATTTCCTCATGACAACATGGCAGTAACAGGGAAGTACAAGAGTACAAGCATTTCTTAAAAAATGAAAAAACACTGCAGTGTATGGATGTTATGAAAGCGATCGGATTTACTCTAAGGTTCTGATTTCAAATGTAAAGGTGGTGTTTACGTCCATGTTTAGAAAGTGTTCCCTAAGTCCCCTAAATCAATAGTATAATGAGATTTAACATGAAATTCAAACCAAGCCAAATTAATTTTTAGTTTTATTTCAATTTTTCTTACTGTAAAATTTTTAAGAAAAATAATACTGGGTCACAACAAAAAACAGGAGGGAATTTAAAATTGTAAATTTACACCAGACTGAAAAGTAGACTGTGTACAAAATCAGGATCTCGCTAAAGAAATTAAATTACAA